ACTCAAAGGTCAAGTCTTAGACGTCATAAAAGTATTCATACTGGGGAAAAAGCCTATAGATGTGAAGAATGTGACAAGTGCTTTACCACAGCCTCACAACTTAGATGTCATAAAAGGACTCATACTGGGGAAAAACCCTACAGATGTGAAGAATGTGACAAGTGCTTTGCTGAAATGTCAAGTCTTAGAAGTCATAAATATATCCATACTGAGGAAAAACCCTACAAATGTGAAGAATGTGACAAGTATTTTACCAAAGCCTCTTATCTTAGATGTCATAAAAGGACTCATACTGGAGAGAAACCCTACAGATGTGAAGAATGTGACAAGTGCTTTACCAGGGCTTCCTATCTTAGAAATCATAAAAGCATTCATACTGGAGAGAAACCTTACAAATGTGAAGAATGTGGCAGGTCCTTTACTTTGCGCTCAACACTTAAGAGTCATTACAGAATTCATACTGGAGAAAAACCCTACAGGTGTGAAGAATGTGACAAGTGCTTTACCCAGGCCTCAAAACTTAGACGTCATCAAAATATTCATACTGGGGAGAAACCCTACAGATGTGAAGAATGTGACAGGTCCTTTAGCAATGGCTCAAGCCTTAGAAGTCATAAAAATATTCATACTGGGGAGAAACCCTATAAATGTCGAGAATGTGACAAGTGCTTTACTCAAAGGTCAAGTCTTAGAAGTCATAAAAATATTCATACTGGGGAGAAACCTTATAAATGTCGAGAATGTGACAAGTGCTTTACTCAAAGGTCAAATCTTAGAATTCATAAAAGAATTCATACTGGGGAAAAACCCTACAGATGTGAAGAATGTGACAAGTGCTTTACCCAGGCCTCCCATCTTAGATGTCATAAAAGGACTCATACTGGGGAAAAACCCTACAGATGTGAAGAATGTGACAAGTGCTTTACCGAGGCCTCACATCTTAAACGTCATAAAAGGACTCATACTGGGGAAAAACCCTACAAATGTGAAGAATGTGACAAGTGCTTTGCTGAAATGTCAAGTCTTAGAAGTCATAAATATATCCATACTGCGGAAAAACCCTACAAATGTGAAGAATGTGACAAGTATTTTACCAGTACCTCACATCTTAGATATCATAAAAGGACTCATACTGGAGAGAAACCCTACAGGTGCTTCATATCTTAGATATCATAAAAGGACTCATACTGGAGAGAAACCCTACAGATGTGAAGAATGTGGCAATTTCTTTACTGCGCGCTCATCACTTGAAACTCATTACAGAATTCATACTGGAGAGAAACCCTACAAATGTGAAGAATGTGACAAGTATTTTACCAGTGCTTCATATCTTAGATATCATAAAAGGACTCATACTGGAGAGAAACCCTACAGATGTGAAGAATGTGGCAAGTTCTTTAACCATGCCTCATATCTTAGATGGCATAAAAGGATTCATACTGGAGAGAAACCCAACAGATGTGAAGAATGTGGCAAGTTCTTTACTACGCGCTCATCACATGAGACTCATTACAGAATTCATACTGGAGAGAAACCCTACAGGTGTGAAGCATGTGACAGGGCCTTTACTTCTCTGTCACATTTAAGGTTTCATCAGAGAATTCATAGTGGAGAGAAACCCTACAAATGAAAAGGTGATGAGAATCCTGTACTTCAATTCTTAGAGAACATCAAAGAATGCATAATAAA